ATGTCAAATCTGTCTGTTTTCAACGTCCACGTTTAGCAATGAATGAAGCTTATGGTATTGAAAAGTTTATATCTCTTGTGAAATTTAAACAAAATCAAAATATTTATGCGCAAGATGATACGATGTTCATTAGAGTTGAAGTCGATTTTCTAAGTAAACCACAAGGTGAATATATGTCAAATGATACGATTTAATTTGAAAAAGACAAGAATATTTTCTATTTAGAATTCCAGTCCGATCTGGGTGAAATGTTAATTGTGGATGAACAACATACAGATTCAATTCATGACGATTTAATGCGCAAAGTTTTAATTTCGAATTAAAATGCAAATACATTTTAGAGACTTATATATAAAATAAATCAAATATTGAGTGTAAATACTGGAACATCATTAATTTCTTTTACTCAAAACCACATTCACATTCTCATTCTAGGAATATAACAAATAACGAAGGGCATCACTTTAACGTATCGTTCTTGAAAACAAGACATGATGATATTCTTTTCAAGTATGATAATCTTGAGATAGGTATTTAATCTCTCTATAGATTAAATTTAACTTTTATTGAGTATCTAACTCCTTTGGACAAGATGTAAAAATTAAGAAACGACATATAGTCTCGATATGCTCATGATGATGATGAATTACGCACTGAATAACTGTAGAGGAGAATATCGATTTATTAGAATCTTGTAGTTGATAGGTCGTGATACTGCGAGATCTTAACGGATTATACTTGCAAATCTATATTTTGAGAAAACAACACATAGATAGTATTTTAGTATCCATATCTAAAGTGTTTCCATTAGAAAAGATTTGTTCAAGGTCTGCGTCTGTGTTTTTTGTTTTCATGGGTGAATGGAGTAACAATCATGTCCAGAAAATATGATCTTAATGAATTAACTGGGCAGATAGTCGCTGGTGGTAGTGGACAAGGATATCTAATGAATCAGCTGAGCGATTCAACTGATATAATTTTCGACAAAAAAAACGAAAATGTGATAATTTGTGGTTCTCAAAATAAACAAGTAATACGATGGTCTCTTCGTAGTCATACATATGAGCAAGTAATTGTTTCAAACAGTGCTTGTAACGGATTGGTGATGAATAATTGTGGATATCTCTATGTTTTGGATAGTGAACAGCAGTACGTCAAACGATAAACAATTGAAGAAACTCAGGGAACGATAGTAGCTGGTGGCAATGAAAGTGGTGATCATCTTGGTCAATTCGATCATCCTTATTATGTGTATGTTGATCAAAATTATGCTATCTATGTATCAGACAACAGAAATCATCGTGTCATGAAATGGAGTGAAGGTGTAAGTGAAGGCATCGTTGTGGTCGGTTTTTAAGAACAAGCAGAGGATGTCACATAGGCGGAAATCGTAAAGGAAGGCATATCAATCAATTGTTGAAGAGAACAATCATCAAGTCCTGAAGTTTGAAAAAATTTAACATAAGTTGGCCTCAATCTTCATCACTTTCATTCGGAAATTAGTTCAAAATTTAAATTAAGTTGCATCTTTTGTCATTCTTCTGTTTTCATGTTCACTATTGAATGCGTTTCCAATAAGATACAGAACTGCACGGTGCGCTTACATAATTTATGGAATATTCTCTCAAGACATCAAAAACTTACAAGTGAAGATCTAGTGAGTAATCACTGTTTTCCGATAACTCGACTACTTCTTGAGAGATTTTATCCTCACCTTCGAACTCGACCGAGGTTTTAATAGAGATTGAACTGTGAAGTGAATTTTACCGCGCGATCTGACTCACCTTTCGACACCATTTTTCTTCTCATTGATGATTAGTTTTCGCGTTAATGTCGAATATGTTGTCAATATTTATAAATAATTCGATGACATATCTAAAGCAAGAGTAGTTTCTTAGAAAAAGATGTTCCCTCAATTTTATTTCAAATTAAAATCACTTGTTTTCGGTACGATCTTCATTGAATGACTAGGTCGAACTTTTTCTCTTCATCGACGACAGTTTCATCTTTCATTTCTTCAAACCGATGCATTATTCTGTTATTATCATAATGAGCAATGTAAATCCGATCAAAATCATCAACGAGAATTTCTTGACGATTACTCAATTAATTAAAAATTGTTCAATCCACATTCATTTCAATGGATTTTTGCATGACATAATTCCAAAAAAGAAACCAAATTGTTAATTGATTTCGATCTTTGGATAATTGAAATCAACTTGGATGAGATTGACTGTGTGAAGATAAATCAGTATCGATTCATCTTGTGT